CGTGTTTGCATGACCTTTCCACGCATCATCATTACTTGGTTGCTGTCGTGTTCACCGTGAAATGTCTTCAGTCTGTTGAGCTAAGCACAACCTCTTCTGTGTCGTCCCACATCGATGAATTCATGCCCCCTTCTCCTCCTCCTCCTCTTGCTTCTCATATCGGGTCGACCATGGTTGAGGCAATGTGTGTCAGTGAATGTAGAAGGAGGGAGGATCGGCTTTACCGAGACTCACACTTCAATGCCACCACCGTAATCAGTGAGGTCGACCACATACTGTGTGTGGTTGTAGTGCACCAGCGATTCACTGGCGCCGATGCAGAGCTCAGTGTAGAATGACCACTTCCGCTTGAAAGTGATGCGATGTTTAGTGGGAATGAAGTTCACTGTGATGCAGTTTTTACTCTCCCAGCTTGTCCTCATTCCAATAACGCCATCGCACCGCATCAGTAGTTATCTCCCAATTTTACTTGTATTATACGTTGTTCTGCAGAAAACAGGAATGTAAGCAACCTTATCTGCTTCCGTTCCCATCTCCGTGGCAGTTGTTTTCAACTTGTGTATTCCATTTCCTATGCGGTCATGCGCCTGTCTAACGCTGACATAAAAGCTTAACCGCTGGGCTTCTATTTTTCCCTTTCTTACGTCTTAAAGTGTCCTTTTCCGAACATGTATATTACATGAGTTTTTTTTTTTTTGTTGTTCAACAAGACTAAGCCTTTTTTCTTACTGCCACACCTTGGTGATTCCTTATGGCTCGCTGACGGAATGGGCTATTTCGTCGTAAATAATTGGTCCTGTTGATCGTTATTGGCGGCAGTAGGTGTTGCCTTGGCGATTAATAAATCATTTGCCTGTTTGCAATGCGTGCACAAGCCATTTTGTATTACATTTTAGCTAGCCAGTCACCAGTCTCTACGCGCACGTTGTAGGTCGCTCGGGCAACATTTGAATAGTGACAAAGTTACTCTTTAGTCTGACAACTTTGCTATTGCAATTTTTGGTATAATGTTTCACGTTTAAGTGCTCCTAGTGGGCCTTTTATCTCTGATGTAGAGTACCTTTCCCATGGCTTTGAGTTGTACCTTTTTTGCTAATTCGGATGCGGCTCTGAATTGGCATGCAAAACAAGTGCTTTCTCCTTTCGTCCTTGACTGGAGGACGGTGAAATTCCATAAACAATTGGGACTATGTCGCCATTGGAGTTTTGAGAGGTGTTTTTTTATTTGCCAATTTACATTTTACTGTGGAGCAAAGGCGAAGAGTTCTCCTGTTTTTCAACTCCTCTACCATATGATGTTGGGGGGAGGATCTGGTGAGATGTGAGTTTGTCAATTCGAACTACCGAGTTCACTTTATTATCACTGACAAGTTAACTCAAATGGCCTAACGTATTACTGGTCACCATCTCAAATTCTTAACTGAATCGGTCAAGGGGCCGATGACTTGAGCATGGAGCTGGTTGTCAGCTGGAGGCATAACATGGCTCTTGTTTCGAACGAAGTCGTGATTGGTGAAATGCTTTGAGCTGTACGATGGAGGCCTTTGGATACTCAAATGTGAGGCATTTTTTGGCTACCGTCAGCTCTTGCATGCTTACTAACTGACCTAAGAATGACTTTTCTGCTTTACGCCAATTGCTATTCCGGAAAATCTATTCATCTGCCTTTTTGTAGTCTTTTGATGCATACGCCGCTCCATTCCCACGAGGCCGTACATTGTGCGCAGTGTAGTGTGTCACACTGCGTGCGCAAATGGCCACTTGGTGAAGACCGAGATCTGTCCACTCGATATAAAATGGAGCCTCTGGGGAGTTGATTGAAACAGTGGTTGTTTCTACGCGATAGTGCACGCTATTTCATACTCCATCTCCACTTCATCCTCCAAAGTTCCCTGGGTTCGCATTTCTCCAAGTATTACTTGTGACTTTCCCTTGGCGCCAGTAGATAATCACACGGGCAGCAGAGTAGCCATTGGGTAAATAAAAGCGCCATAAAATGGAATGTGGGTAATCAGCTTTGAATATATTTTTTCCGATCCCTTGTGGCACACTGTCTTCCAGAAATTGACACTCTAGGAGGGGCAGGTTTCATTGCATCCAGGGTGCTCCAGTAAGAGCTCCGGAAGTATAAAGAAAGGTTGTTGTGTACATACACTTCCCTTCCTTGTATTTAACTTCCTTCATCTCATACAGATGTCAAGTTTTGGCATCATTTGTGGCTTAAAATCTGCGCGTAAGGGCATTTTTATTGCCTTTTCACTTCTTCTCATGCCTTAAAGTAGGCATAAAGGCGCCCATATCCTACTAGATGCTCATTCCTTGTGCTGGTTCTTTGAGGGTTCAAGGATGCTCTATGTATACTTTGACTTTTACTGAGTGTCTCATCGATGGCTTCTTGTCATTTCCTACAGATCGTTGGGTTCGATGGGTGTACCAGTACAGTACGAACGAAATTTCCGAGCCAAATTAGCCTACTTCAGAGCTCAATGCTCCTCACACTTCCTCAACGGTCACGCAAGGCTCTGCATCTCACGTGAAGGCCTTCTAGAGGAGTCTTTTCAACAGGTGACTTTTGTTTCAAATCTAGTTGGTTTGTTCTTTTTTGGTTTGTTGCATAGTTAGAGCATTGATCAAATGTTTTTTTCTGCAGATTCAACGACTGCCGGCCTCCGAGTTGCGCAAACGGCTACGCATCACATTTCTTGGTGAAGAAGGGTTGGATTACGGTGGGATTGCAAGGTAATTCATAGTAAAATTATCGCTTTTCATCTGCAGCATTACTTATGCCTTTCAAGAAGTGAAATCAGTCTCATAGCGATAGCTTTTTTGCTACACCGGTAGTAAAGTAGTGAACGGTGTCGAACAGTGGCAGCTTTCATCCGTGAATCACTGATAATCGTTAGGTCTGCATGGAATGTAGCCAAGTGAACAGTAGAAATAAAAGGCGCAAAAGCAAGTCCGATGGTGACTAAAAATAGGGAGCATTGTGGAGAAAGTGGATGTGGAATAAGATGATACCAATCAAAAGCTTCATCTAAATAAGCTTCACAGTGAAGCGCAACAAAACAACAAGTTAAAACAGCTTTTTGTGCACATCTATTCAAATCAGAATGTATCGTCACCTTTCCTCCAAGAGGCTTTATTGAAGGTTTCCTTAAACTGCCTCCTGTTGAAACTGTCTAGTTGTATCGTTTTCTGTGTATCTGGAGCTCATAACTCTGTATTGAAATGAAACTGGTAGAGATGGAGAAGGCGTCAAGACTATTTGGAGTTAAAAAACTGAATGACATCGAAACAATGATTGAGGGAAGGGAAGATGTCTAATCCGAAGAGGCATGGTACGCGACAGTCGACTGAATAACTCCAATATTCATCAAGGTTATTGATGTGCTCTATTCTCTCTACGTAAAATGGTCTTCAAGGTTAACGTGTGGACATCGCCTTCCAGTCGCGTTTAAAGCTCCTGAAGGTAGAACAGTTTGACAACACTTTGTGCTCATGGGGAGGTGGATTTGGTTTAGCTTTGCCTTTAGCCATTCCTCAGACCGACAAATGCATCAAACACCTAAGTCAAGCTGTACCATCTCATCCTGCGTGCGTTGTGGTGGGCCACTGAAGTCTGCCTCCCTCGAAAGCTTGCAACATTTATCTCTCTTCCTTCCTCACCATTTTCTCCTTTTTATGGCGGTCAAGGCCAAGGCAATATACTTTTCTTCCTGTTTCTCCTGCTCATTTTCCATCGCCTTCTTTCTTTTCCTTTTTTTGTTCTTTATTTTCTACCTCACTATTGCCATTTTAGGTCACCTTAAAATCAGTAACGGATAATTTTAATGGTTTGAAAACTGGCAACGCAGCCATATTTTCCCATGCCTGGGTCAGTAGATGCGATGAATGTCACCATAGCGCATTGTAGTCATCTTCACCTTTTCGCAAATTCATTGTCACCCTCACTTTCTTTTCCTTATGTCTGCGAGCGTGATTGTTCAAACTACCAGAAGGCATTCACTCCATGATTCCAGTGCAACTTCTTTCCGAGGCTTTGATTCCATATTCGGAACGCTCATTTTGGCAGTGACTGTTGATGTACGATCTTGATCCGCCTGGTTGAGCCACTGCTTTGACTGGGACATGGTAGAAGGTTATCCTTACCATACTTGGTGAATCTGTTTTCATCTTAGAAGGTGGCATCACGTTTGACACGAAAGGTAGGCTTGATAGGTGTAGTTATCTGAAGAAAACCCCATTTCAAGTTCGGCTACGCAGATCTATATGAAATGAACGACAATTTACCTTCACTCACTTATGGTAGCCCATCGTGATACCTTCGAGGGCTTTAATTTCTCTGTTCGCAGCGAAATAGACTTGTAGTAGGCACCTGTAAAGCGTGACTCTAAATCCAGTTCGTCCAGGTTGTTGCTTCCGTAGATTAAAAAATAGTCAGAGTAGTGTAGCGGGCGGATTGATTTTAATATAAAGACATGGAGAGGGGTTAATCATGCATACATGACCCACGTATCTCATCATCCATAGCCAGGGTTGTAAGATACGATTCTACTAAATCGCACTGCAAATAAACTTGCAGGGTATTAAACAAATACCCATGACAAGGTGACTTATAACCTGCGGGGGCGTGAATATTAAACACGATTATTTGCTTGCATCGTAAAGCACAGATATGACTAGACTATTTGGCATGGTCTCCTCCTGCTTCTCCTCCACACTCCTCGCCTTTTTCAAGCCACCCCTAATGTGGTGTCGGTTGGCCTCAAGACATGCAACTGTCAGTGTGAGCCTGTCTCCTCCACCAATTAACCTTCAATCGTCGCAGAGGCTGTTGAAAATGCACACAAAGTGGGGGATGGTGGCAAATGCCTTGGAAAGTTGGTGTGTGGACGACGATTCACTGAGTGGTGCTCCACTGATGGCGATCACGTTTGAGACGAACGCCAGCCAACCACGGAAACGGCACACAACGTCGTCAAGACACACGCGCAGCATGAAGATGGTGGTAGTGGCGGTGGTGGTGGTGATGGGACGGTAGTGGGTGGAGTGAATGTCACACACG